GTGTGATATTGGTGGGGTCCTTGGTCCTCAGATTTTATTTCTGACACTATCTCAATCGAATAGTTACCACAATATCAGAAATTAAATTCTGTGGTGGTGAATCTTCATTTTCAGGTTGACTAGATTTAGGATAGGAAACTTTGGGGTATACCTGCGAGGGTCCTTCTAGATAGGTTTAGCTGAATGTGTGGGTTGGGGGCTCAGATTGAAAAGAGAGGGAGGGGGGAGGGAGGGAGGGAGAGAGAGAGAAGAAGGAGGGAGGGAGAGAGAGAGAAGCAGGGAGGGAGGGAGAGAGAGAGAGAGCGAATATGAATGAGAATGAGAGCTCTTTTCTATCTACTTCCTGGTCTGCCAAGATGTGAGGAGTCCCAGCCATATGCTCCTGCCACCAGGAACTACACCATGCCTTCCTGCTATAGTGTACTATATCCCAGCAAACCATGAGTCAAAATAAATCCTTCCTTTAAAAAATATTTTGTGGGGGCTGGAGAGACGGCTCAGTGTTTAAGAACACTGTTCTTGCAGAACACCTGGGTTCAAATCCCAGCACCCACATGGTAGCTAACAACTGTCTATAACTCCAGTTCCAGGGGATCTGATAGCCTCTTCTGTCCTCTGTGAGTATTGCATGACACGGGTGCACTTACCTACATGCAAGCATAACATTCATATACATAAAATAAAAATAATAAATAAAATATTTAAAAAATTGTTTATTATTTTTATTTCATGTGTATGCATGTACTGCCTGCCTGTAGGTAGGTGCACCCATGTGGTGCAATGCCCGCAGAGGTCAGAAGAGGGCATCAGATTCCCCTAGAACTGAAGTTATGGATGGTTGTTAGTCACCATGTGAGTGCTGGAATTGAAGCCGGGTCCTCTGCAAGAGCAGCCAGTGCTCTTAACTGCTGAGCCATCTCTCCATCCCTAGCCGTTCCTTTTCTTAATTGCTTTTGTATGGTATTTTGTCACAGCAAGGAGAAAAGTAGCTATACAAAAAATTGATACCAAGAAGTGAAGTGATTGCTGTGGGAGCCTGACCTTCTGGTCTTTAGGTTTTCTGGACTGTTCTGTTGGAAGAATACTGAAGAGTTTGGAGTTGTGGGACAGAAGCCCTGGAACACTATGGCAGAGAGAGAACAATGGGCTGTTCTGGTGGAAGTTCAGAAGACTATAATGCTGTTAGGAAGGTATGCAGTAAAGACCGGGCTCATGAAGTTTCAAACAGGAGCAAGGCTCTATTAGGAACTGGGCTATAGGCCATTCCCGTCAGTCTGGCAAACATATCTGTCTATACTCTACCTGTGTCCTGAGAATTCAAGTGAGGCCAAGTTAAAAGCAATGGACTAAGCTATCTGGTAGAGAAAATCTCAACATAGCATTCAGGCTGAGGCAGTTGCTGCACACTGTTCTCATGCAGCTTTCACTGTGTTTTTCATGGTGTTTTGGGGGAGAAAAGAGCCTGGGTGACTTTACAGTCACAGTCAAGGCAGGTACAGAACAAACAGCTGTAACTGTCAGAGATTAGCACAATTAGGGGAACTTGGCATTGGGACAATAGGACAGGTGTCTTGAGAGCAAGACCCTACCCACTAAGATTTGTGAAAATGAAAATTAATTTGAAAGGAAAGAGATTGAAGCGAGAATGCTGCTGAAGGCTTCCTGCTTGAAAACAGCAATGTGAGGAGTAGGGAGGAGTTCTTTCCCCCAGTTCAGCTGCCAGCGCAGAGTCCGCTGTAGCTGTGGAGGAAGAGAGCTACGTTAGGTCAGAGCTTGGTAATATTGCCCACATGGTGCTGGCTTTGCAGGCATACAGAATGCAAGCATGGAGATTTGCACCAATCTTCCAGAGTGAACTGAAGCCATCATCAAAATGTCAGAATCCCCCTCTAGTTTTTTTCTCCTTCAGCTTGAATCTTAGAGCACAGTGCAGGAGAACCATAGATGCTGTTAACTGAGGAAAAGTGGAGTGCATCCTCGGGTACTAATGAGGCAGCAGTGATGAGGACCTGGAGACAAAGCTGGCAGCTCCTCTCTTCCTCTCTTCCTAGATTCCCACCCTTGAGGTACCCGGGGATCTAGCAGTTGCTTAGCCAGTGATACTTCGACATCTTGTTTTTTCCTTTTGGATACTGCATGAAGTACTGAGGAAAAATAACAGATGAGATACAATTTCTGAGAATGCCTTGGCCATGGGTTTTTGATCTGGTTTATAGAACCAGGTATGAATTCCCTCAAATCCAAGTAGAGAGTGGTTGGTTGCTGTCTTAACAGTCATGTCACCACTGCACCAATGGGTCTATCTTATTTTGGAGGTTTGTCTTCAGAGGGTTCACAGCTGGGTAAGACCATTGCTTTTTCTCTTCTAGCATTATGAAAGCTAGTTAAGGAAGGGAGTCTCCTGCCTAGATCCAGGTTTATTTCTCTATTTCTTGCAACCAAGATGTGTGGTATCTTCAGAAATAGGGTATTATCAACTAGTTCTGGTGGGCTACCAAGGGGATTTGAAAGAGCCTGTATTTTTGGGGGTTCTGTGGGGATTCTCTGACTAACAACTCAAAAGGTGGTCTCTCATACTTGGTTTTAATAGCCCATGGCTTTCAAGAACATTATTCAGACACTTAAGATTTCTCTCTCTCTCTCCCTTTCTCTCTCTCTTCTCTTTCTCTCTCTCTGTCTCACACACACACACACACACACACACACACACATGCACGCACATACATATGTACACATACTTTCTTACTTAAAATATTTATTTTTATTTTATGTGTATGAGTATTTTGACTGCAGGTATCATGCATGTAAGTGCATCTGTGAATGCAATGCCCGCAGAGGCCAGAAGAAGGAATTGAATCCCCTGGATCTGGAGTTACAGACAGTTGTTAGCCACCATGTGGGTGCTGGGAACTGAATCCAGATCCTCTGCAAGAGCAGTCAGTGCTCTCAGCTGCTGAGCCCCTCTTTCATTTTTAACTTATATTTTTCAATTGGCTTACAAAAGTCCATGTGGCTTCTTCATACACTCTTCATTTTGGTTAACTCTTCCTCCCTCATTTCCTCCATCCCTCACCTTCATTCCTACTTAAACTTTCCCAAACTTGCTATCCTTTAACTGAACTGTCATGGCATCAAGATGCCTTCTCAATATTTATGTTTATACCATAGCAAATGCTACTCCCAGCCTCAATGAGAGAAGCTTCTCTTTGCAGTGAATGACAGTGAGTGCAGAGAGAGGCATGAATGCTCAAGGTGCTGGGAATACGTGGCATGATGGTGAGTTCTCAGCCCTAAGCAGGAGGCTTATACTGTTCCCTCCAAGACTCGGGGATCATCAAAGAAGAGGGGAACAGAAACAATATGTGAGCTGGAAGGTAAAGAGGAGGGCTGTGAATGTTGTCTTCTGGGCATGGCACAGCCAATGCAATCATAACCTCACAACTGCTGTGGCCTGCTGCATTGCAATGGGTCTACAAAAGACTGGGTCTCTCAATAGTCAATCATAGATTGGGGAAGGCTCATGTGGTCCTACCCCTCCTGCTGAATACTGGCTACTGATGGATTCTGGGGGAAGGGTAATCAGTGTCTTCAGTTGTGTTCTCACTGGAATCAACACTGGATAGTTCCAAATCCATGATCACATAAACAATCCTGGTTAAGCTAGTAGGTCTCAAAAGAAAAAAAAAAAAAAAAAAAAAAAAAAAAAAAAGAACATGGCAAGGGAACTTGTAGAGAGGAGGGAGTGTAACAGGTGGGGGTGGTGGGGTGATGGTGAGGGAACTGGATAGAAGACTCACTCATTAAGAACACATGCAATACTTGCCAGAGGATTTGCGTTTGTTTCCCAACAACCCATGTAAGGTGCTAGCAATCACCTATAATTCTAGCTCCAGGGGGAACCTTCACCTCTGGTCTCTGAGGACACCTGCACTCTTATGTACATACCCCCCACAGATATACACACATACCCTCAGATATATGTATGATTAAAAATAGTAAAAATAAAGCTTTGAAAATGGTGGGAGTTTAGAGAGTGAGGGATGTTACAGTAATTAGAATGTACTTTATACACATGAAATTTGTCAAAAAACAATTCAATAAAGCAGTACAAATAAAAAATAAACATAAAAATTTTTAAAAATAGCTTCTAATCTAAGGAAACTAGGTTCTGATAGGGATATAGATAAAAAAAATAACAGTCAATGTTGTAATTTGAAGCACCCTAGAATCTGTGCAGTCCCTTGCTCTTTAACCTGTATGAATATCTAAATCTGCATAAGAAAAAGCAAGATACACAATTGTAAAAAAAGACTTAGACAAAGAAGCAAAATATAATACTCAGAAATTCTAATACATTTTACTTTTTAATAAAAAGGAATTCTTGAAGTCTTGTAGGAATGGGGTAAGCTCTTACTTCTCCCTCATGCTCTAAGCCGGGTATAGGTATATCTATCTTATACCCCTGCTAACTTGATTGTCCTGGCTCTGATTTTGTTTTCAGCCTGTTGATTTCAGATTATTCTCATGTTAGAAATCAAGAAACCATACATCAAACTTTCATTACATATTTACAAATTCCCAATTTGCTAATTTAAAAAGAAAAAGGATGCCTGAGGAGACATAATGGAAATAATTTAGGGGAAACAGAACTCCCAGAAACTTTTGTATACTGACAAATACTCAGTTGTCTACATGTAAGACCTTTATCATCTCCAGAACTGAGTCTCATTTCTATAGTTACAGGCGTGTCTAAACATAATCAAAGCTGTGTGTTTATCAGAGAAGGACATTCCATCCCAAAGCATGGCCTATTACAAATCTGCAGTCTCTGCCCGTGCACTTCTTGGTGATCATCAATGTTTGGTAAACAGTTTTAGAAGCTGTGTCTGCTGTACATGTGTACTTTACAGGACTGTGAAAGAGTAGACTATTTTGTGTATTTTGATAGGGTTGAGGGATTGTTCTGGTATGAATTAAAGCTTTTTTGTGAGACCACTTACTGGTATCCACTTCAGTTACCATGATTGGTTTGGAGAACTGAATCCGGAATCCCCAGGGATAATCTCCAGTTCCTTTGAATAATCTCACAGTTCGCTCATGAACTAAAAAGAAAGAAGGCATTGCTTGGAGTCAATATTTGGTACTATATTTTAATTGTAATATAGTAAAATAGCTTATTTGCTTGTTGATTATGTTAGGCTTAATAAAATTATTTCAAGTAATGCTAAGTAATTGCTGTCTATATATGTATTTCATTGGAATACATTATACAAAATTCTCAGTTTCATTGTAATACTTTCACACAGTGCTCTCGAATATGCTCATCACAAGAGATTATTATCTTTTTGAAGAAGCAGATAATGAGGCACAGAGAAGTGAAACACTTTGGTCAAGAAAAGAAAAAGCTTACTACTATTAGCAGCATGACACCCAAGGCTTCATCATTAGCCACTGTGCTACAGCTACCCAAATCTGAGCCTTACAAATCTGTCACTTAGCTCTGTAAACAAAAACATTCATTGCAAAATTGCACATAGGAAAAAGAAAACAGAAACATCATCCATGTGATTAGGTCTTATAAGAACCCAAGAAAAGCTAAGAATTGTATTACTTAGAAAATACAGGAACACCTGGGTTTGAGGGAATTGGAACTCTTTGGTTTTTCTACATTGAAAACAGGAAATTCTAAGGACATCATAGTAAGAGTCCTTGCATGTTTTCAGCAGTTTGCTAACTTTAATGTAGTCCAGTCGTTGCTCTGTTTTTCCTTTTGTCTTCTTTTCTTCCTGTTGCCTTCACACCCCCTTTTTCTGAATTACTTTCTGTGTATGTGTGTATGTGTGTATGTGTGTGTGCATGAGTGTGTGAGTTCTATGAGTGTGAGAATGTGTAAGCATGTGCATGTGTGTATGTGTATGTGTATGCATGTGTGTGTGAGTTGTATGAGTGTGAGAATGTGTAAGCATGTGCATGCATGTATGTGTGTATGCATGTGTGTGTGAGTTGTATGAGTGTGCAAATGTGTAAGCATGTGCATGTGTGTATGTGTGTATGCATGTGTGTGTGTGTGAGTTCTATGAGTGTGAGAATGTGTAAGCATGTGCATGTGTGTATGTGCATGTGAGTGTGGTTCTTCCTCACAACTTCTGCTTGTTAATAACTAGCTTATTCATCACTTCAGCCTATTCATGGACCCTCTTGACATTTTTCTATCTCAAGATACTTTACTGTCCACTAAGAGCATTTCCGAGTTTAAATTCCAAAAGGGGAGCCTCACATATAAAACCTTCTCTGTTCAGACTGTTTGGGGTTGTTATTCCTCAGAGATGAGAAAAGGGCATGAGTCCAAGATAGAACCTGTTAACCATTTTGTGCTAATATTAATTTATATTTCATTTCTTGTTTATGGTTCATGCCAGAGCACATGATGAAATAAAACATGAGAAAAGCTTTATTTAATTTTTGAGAATTTCATGCATGAATACTGTATTTACATTTCCACCCCTTCTTCTCCCCTACCCAACTCCTCCCATGTCTCCCTCAACTGTCTCTCAATTTTATACTCTTCTTTGATTATTATTGTTACTACATGCATTTATATTCTTAACACTAGGTCTAGTCATGGGTCTCTGTGAAAAAGCTTGGTAATTAATTATAGAATAAGAATGTCAATCTATTAGGAAGAACAGGGAAATGTAACACTTTAAAAGGGAAATTGAGTGGGATTCTGTTTCATAAGAAGTAGGACTGCAGTAGAATATCTGGGCAGTGTGTTTTACTGCTTTTTTCAATCTTTTACTTTTGTGGAAGTCACTTTTTTTATTTCTCACTGTGGTGGTTTGAAAGAGAATGTCCCCCCATAAGCTCCAAGTATTTGGACATTTTGTCCCCAGTTAGTGGCACTGTACTGTGAAGTCTTAGAAGGTGTGGCTATCCTGGAGGAATCACATCACTGGGGGCGGGCTTAGAGAGTCCTTAAGTCTTGCCTGATCTCGAGGAGTCTCTCTCTTGCTTCCTGTGCTTGCTTAAAGATGTGAGAGTTTAGCTTCTGCTCCTCCTCCAGCCACCTCTGCCACCATGCCTCCCCACCATGATGGACTCTTGCCCCTTTGGAACTTTAAGCACAAATAAACTCTTCCTTCTATAAGTTTTTTTGGTCAGTGTTTATATCACAGCAACAGAAATGTGACTAATACACTCACTTTAGGAAATCTATATGTACACAAAATATGGACAGAATTTAAAAGCATTGAAGAGACCAAGTTTCTCTTGAGACCTTCTGTGATAGACAGTGATGCTCATGACCATGGGGAAGGACCTTAGTTCAGCCACAAACTCAATGTGGAGTCTCTTCCTCACCATCCCTGAAAGGTGGCCTTAGATGAGTGGGCTCCTGAAGTTTGTAAAAATATTATTAGTACTGTAAATTTATATTACTTTGCAGGGCTTACAATATGATTGGCTATTTTCTTCATTTTTCTCTCAGATACTCTGAGGCAAATAATTATCTTTCAAATTAAGTTTCCTGTGAGAAGTAACAAAGGAAGTAGAAGGTGAATCATTTTTCCCAGCATGTTCAGCTGTGACTACTCCTTTGGTTAGAGAAGAAAAACATTTGATAAAAGCAAAGAGGCATCCATTTATCTTTAGAGATTCACTACAGTCAGAGAAAGGAGTTCACAAGCATTTGTTGTATAGCTACTTATTTCTAGGCATTTCCCCATGTAATTGGAATATAGTGAGAAATACAGAGAAGACGTCACTTTCTCATGGAGTTTAAATGTTAAACATTTGCTGCCAAAACTGCACTATCCAAGGAGAGGAGGGATAAAGTCTCTTCATGTGAGTTCCTGTAGGAAACTTTTGCATTTTTGCATAACACGTCTGAAAAAAAACACATTGTTTTCTCTTCGGAAAAGTGTGGACCATCTCTGAAGTTCTGTACTCCGATTTATTCTGTGTTTCTGGGAAACTTTCTGGTGCTTGTTAAGAGAATTCTCTCCTTTGGCACAACTGTTTGGACAGCCTCATATTCAATATCATAATTTAAGAGGCAGACTGGGAAATTCAAGGACTTATGAATTAATATTTCAACAGCCTGCAATAGGCTGGTAGCTAATCAGGACAAAAAGAAAACCAGAAATCCATTTCTGACTGCTGTAAAAATAATTTTTTACATCTCTACTTTTCAAGACTTCTTATTCCCTCTAGGTTAGTCTCTTGATACTATCTTCTGCTTTTGACAGATGGATAACCCAAAAGATATTTGTTTATTGGAAGGCTTTTGCTGTGTTGATTTAAATTAAATCAAATTTGTTGTTTTGTTTTCATATTGCATGAGACTGTTTAAAATAACTACAGCTTTCAAGATGGTGTTTCTGTGTTTTGGGTTTTTCAATCAGGCAAACCAAATGTCAACACTGGCTATGGAAGAATGAACAATTTAATAAAGTCTTTAAGTGGTGAGCTCTCCTGTGGGAGGAGACAGTCAACATGTTTGTAACATGTTCCTCTCCCATTCTGAAGGCAATTTTCTCATATTTTAAGATTTATAGTCCTAGTTTCCCTTGGCACTGTCTAGTGGATATCTCTAAGTGGCACACAGCTACTGAGAAGCCACAAATGAATGTGATTGTTTCAACAATCACAATAGACTATGGGTGTATTGTCAAGTAGTTTATCCCCTCAGGCACCACTTCTGTAGCATCATATTGTTGGTTATAAAAATTCAAATGAAGGGCAAATATTTCCATAAATACAACACAACTCTTGCACTGAAAATATCCTAAAATTTTCAGGTAGTTCTGTCAATAAAGCTTTTGTTTGCTTATTTCCCCAACTCAGAACTTTCAGGAGGTTAAGATTAAATTTTTGTTTATGTATAAAATTCATTTTTACAAAATACATTCTGGGACATACAAATTAGCAATATAATATATTTGAAATATTAGGTCATTAAAGATACTTTTCAGTTAAACTTTTTCCATTTACTTCCAGCTCACTTTTCAAATTTCTATTTTCTTTTCATGGTCTCTTAATACTACACAATCAAGAAGATATATATTCAGTATAACACTTGAAGTCTTACTAACAATCAAAAAGGACAGCTAGCACAGGTTTGAAATGAGATTCAGTCTCATGAAAGATGACAGCGCTCACTTGCAAAACATAAACATATTTTCATGTACATATATGTACATATATGTATATGTCTATGTATACATACATATGTATATATAAGAATGAATATTTGTATGTGCATAAAAGAAAACTTTTATATTTTTCTTTTAGCAAGGCAAAAGATAGTAAATTTAGGAAAATTCTTTTTCTTTGATGACAAGAATCAATTGTGAAATTACAATAATTGCATTTTTCTTACAAACATTATACATCAGAGTTTAGCTAAAATGCAAGGGAGTACTTGTATTTTGTTTATTTTTGTGCTATCAGATTCCTGGCACCAACAGATAGTCAACAAACACTTGTCAATTTGGTAAGCATATCATGTAATATAAATTGTGTATAATTTATATATAACTATATGTGAATATATAAACACATGTGTGTCAATACATATTTACAATTGTTATTTAAGAGAAAATCTACAATTAAAAAATAAATGTAAGAGACAGAAATAGCCAAGATAGATCAAAAACCAAGATAGATTAAAAAGCCCATTGTAACTTTCATGTTTATAATTTGGTTACAATAATGCTGTAATTCATGGAGAAAAATAACAAAAATAACATTGTAAGGTTACATGGCTATAAATTACTCACTAGTATTTCTTACTATACTTACAGTGCTTTATTCATCTCTTAAAGAAATATGTATTGTCTTCCTATGATGAAACAGGAATGTTCTAGGTTCCTGGAATAATAATAGATGTCCTGACTCAGAGAATCTTACTTTTGCTAATGCAAAAGCATAACTCTCACCTCAAAGGGGATAAGAGATAGTTTTTTCTGGAGCCAAATATGAGTGACCATGGCCCAGGAAAACAGATTCAGGTTACCCCAAATTCCATGTTCCAGCGCGGTAACAGTTAATGACATTACGTTTTTATAGTAACAGAACAAAGAAAAGTCATAAATCAAGACACCTTTCAAATTCATTGACGGATATGTTTGGTAGGCAGATCGTAGCAAAGCAAGGGGGTTTCGACTATAGGTCTAGTTGCTATCTGATGACATTCTTAGCTTTTTAGTTGGTGAGACTTGGTGATCTGCTAAGTTAATTCATTTTATTAGTACAAGAAGGTTAACTCAGAAACAGAGGTAGGTAAGGTGTGGCTCTTTATGGGGTTAAAGATGTCCCCAGATTTGTGAAGAGGCTCTGGATCTGCAACATTCCAGACTCTCCACAATCTTTGGAGTGCTCATTAGTTGGTGAGCCTTGCAGGAAATTCAGTCCAAGATGCAGGAGGTTTTTCTGGGAACTTTCTTTCACACTTTCAATATGGGGTTCTTCTCTGATGCCATCACTCAGATAAAAGTTAAACAGACAATTCTGTGTCTTTAAAGTTACTTTTGGCTCCTCACCACCTACACTGTTAATTTTTTTCTGCTTTATTTTACTTTATTCTGGTATCATAAGATTTGTCATATTTTATTTTATTACATGTTTCAGGTAGGGTTTTATGTATCCCAGGCTGGGCTTATACTTTTTATGTAGCTGAGGCTGACCTGGAACTATTTTTAAAAGATTTATTTTTATTATTTTACATTACATATATGTATATATGTCTGTATGGGTATACGTCTTTGTGACTGCAGGTGCCTATGGAGGGTAGATGTCTTGGACATGCTCACACCTGAGTGCGAAGATTCCCAGGCATGTGCCATGGTACCCAGCTTACATTAGTCTGTACTCTAACTTCGGAATTCCTATTAAGTAGAAATAGCTCTTAAAATCACTTTTATTTTAAGAGGTGCAGAATCTTTCACACATAATCTAAATTCCCCAAACTCTGCTTAGTGTTCAAGTTTGGCAACCTTAGCGGCTCTAGCTGCAGGTTTTCTAAGGCATATTTATCTTACTTGTAAATGTAAAGTCCTTACCAGCTACTGGTTGTGGCTTTTTACTAAGACACCTGGGACTGTCTTCAAGATTCCCATCATCACCTGCTGAATGAAAATTCTCAGTGTAGAATCCTTTTTCTTCAATATCAACTCAAAAGGCAAAATCCATAGAACCAGCCTCCTCTGAGGTGACTGAGGAACCGAAAAGGAGAAAACATAAATTATGCTCTAGCAAGAAAGAAGATCCAACAATCTAGTGGTCGAGGTGAGAAAGCACCCCAAATATGTGTAGATAAAATCTCTATCAATAAAGAGTATTACTACCCTGGGACATAAGTAGCTGAGTTTGGTGTGTATATCTCAAGAAGAATTTACATATTCTTAAAAATATTATGATCAAAATAAATATTGCTTCAGGGTAAAGTCCACGAAAGTGTGTGCACTAGATGAAGGACTATAAATCTTTGTGTCAAGGAAAATTTTTTAAAAATATATTATTATTAAGAAGTCAAGTTCTTCCACAGCAATTTGGGGTTTTCTGTGTATGTAGGAGCATCTTGGGTAGTGTAGAAGGCTGTGCCAGTAAAAGAAATGAGCTTTTAGTTCTCCATTAACTTCCATATGTTTCTTTGTTCCCTGATTAGAAGGTTAAAACCTGAATAAAGTCATGCCCCAAGCCTTTCAAACAGTCAGAATCAAGAAATCCCACTCCATAAACCAAAAGTCAATTTCAGGAAAAGTGTATCATTTATTTACATTTTTAAAAATACCAGTAGGAATGAGGGTGGAATTTTGTAGGAATGATTTTTCTGATCTTAAACTTGCTTATAATGTAAACAAGCTTACTGAGCCATGTACTCCTCTTCTGACCTGATCATGTGATCTTAATCCCTCCAGAGGCGTCCTTGCCAGCTCCCAGGATAGTGTACAAATGTGTGTTTGAGTGGTTTTTAAAAATAATTTATTTATTATTTTTATTTTATGTTTATGTGTGTATTGTCTGCATGTAGGTAGTGCTCCCATGTCGTTCAATGCCCACAGAGGATGGAAGAAGCTGTTGGATCCTCTGGAACTGGAGTTATAGACAGTTGTTAGCTGCCATGTGGGTGCTGGGATTTGAACCCGGGTTTTCTGCAAGAACAGTGTTTTTAACCCCTGAGCCATCTCTCCAGCCCTGTTTTTGCTTGTTTTTACTTATCAAAGCACTGAAAATAGCTTGCACTTTCTCACTGCAAACAATGAGAAAAGTTGAGAACAGTATGCTTATCGTTTTGTGTGGTGTTCTAGGTCTAGGGATCAAAAAGCAAAGTTCTCTGATAAACATGGGTCTGAATTCCCCATTTCATGCTGGATATACTGTTTCAATAAAGAATGAATGAAGTCCTAGCTCCAGATCACAGTTCTGAGAGAATTCTGAATAGCTTCTCAGAGTTTGGGTCTGCTCTTGGCCTTAAAATGAATGCTAAGAGGCTGTCTTTTTTTTTTTTTAAGCATCACCTTAATGTGGCTTAGAAATGCTGCAGGATTTGAAGACTACAATTCTTAGATCTTTATTTTTTATTTTATTTTTATTTATTTATCTTATTTTATTTTGGTCTTTTTGAGACAGGGTCTCCCTGTAGCCCCAGCTGTCCTGGAACTCACTATGTAGACCAGGCTGGCCTTGAACTCACAGAGATCCGCCTGCCTCTGCCTCCCCAGTGCTGGGATTAAAGGCGTGCGCCACCACACCCGGCCAGATCTTTATTCTTTTTAAACAGTACCTTACTGTGAAGCACAGGCTGATCTGATCTCATGATCCTCCTGTCTCATCTTTCCTAGGAGCTGGGTTACAGGTGTGTGCCTGAGCAATACTTCGCAAAGAATAATTGAACACCTTGTTTTCCTCTCAGTTCCTCCTCAGTACTGAGGTTGTCCTCACGCCTTTGGCTGAAAACTATGGGTAAATTCTCTTTCTTCTGTCCTGACTCTTCCTAGCAAGGTCCACCTAGTCTTTGGCTATAAGTCCCCCCGCCCCCATTGGTGTTCTGTTTTCTCTGATTTTTCTCTGGAGAATTATTCTTAATGGTTCTTTTTCATTTCCACTTTCACTTTCTTAATATTTTTTTCTGAAGAGAATAATTCTTAGTCATTACCCTGACAGTGAATAAATTTCTAACATACATTTGCTTAACTTGTATTCGATTGCACTAGTCAGTTGATGGCTTAAGTGGTTTAAGTTACATTCATTCATTGACTGAACTGATTTATAATAAATGTTCTCTCATGAGCAGGTGCAGCTTTTACAATGGGAATAGAGTGATGAATAAGATAGGGTTCATGAGGAGCTAAGAGAGAGAAGCGAAGGAAGAAGGAAGGGAGGGAGGGAAGGAGGGTGCTCTGGCTGTAAGAAAAGGCATGTCTAAAGGAACACCATATGGCATAGGCAGATGACCCACAGTGCAGAAACAGGTGTGGGTGAATTATTCCTACTCTGAAAATCTAAATTTTTCAAATGAAAAATTTGAAAATTTTGAGTGTTAATACCTAAAACAACCAAATGCAAAAAAATCTCTATCTAAGATGTTTGAGAAGATATAGTAAGGATGCAGGTGTATAGCAAATATTGTATAAAATTGTATGCAGAATATAGATCATAATATATAACAGAACATATATATATATTCAAATAATTTTACCCTCATATTTTGGCCCTATCCCCCAAATATCTCACAATTTATATACAAATGCTCTAAAATCCAAATCTCTGAAATATGAAACACTTCTGGTTAAAAGCATTTTAATTAAGAAATACTCTACCAGCTGGGCATGGCAGCATGGCCCTCTAATAATACCAGCACAGAGGAGGCAGAGGCAGACAGATTTCTGTGAGATTGAGGCCAATCTAGTCTATATAATCAGTCCAGGTCAGATGGGTTACAGGGAGACCCTGACTAAAAATACATATATATTTAAAAAGGTGATATATGGGAATATTATACAATTGCCAAGTTTAAATGAAGTGATAAGATATAATGGGATATGCTTACTGGAATAAAAGTTATGAAAAGTTTAGGCAGAATAATATAAAAAGAATAAATTAGAACATATAAATTTTTATCTTACCAATTTTTCCTTTTTCCACACATCATATTTCAAGACCTTTTACAAATTTTTATAAATTTTCATTTGTTGAGTAAGTCTGAGTGTGACATTTGATTGAATAGGGAAAGTAAGCCAAAAATTATAATTTATTGATGTGTCTTCCTCTTTTATTAATATTTTTATTTTATTTTGTGTGTATGAGTATATTGCCTGCATGCATGTAAATACACCTGTGCTGTGCAATGCCAATGGTCAGCAGAGGGTTTCGAATCCCCCTGGAACTGTAGTTATGGACAGTTGTTAGCTACCATGTGGGTACTGGGAATTGAACCCAGGTCCTCTGCAACAGCAGTCAGTGCTTAACCACTGAGCCATCTCTCCAGTCTCTTGATGTGTCTTTCTAAGCTTTAAAGTTAACTTTATTAAAGCTTTTTGCTACAGTAATACTTGATAAAGTTTTATTTTTATTTCTCATATTCTATATCTTAAAATGTCAGTTACATTTTAATATTTATTACTGTAACTCACAGATTTCTGAGCCAATTGGCTTATCTTATCAATTTTTCCCTCAGTAATAAATACCTATATTTGAGTATGCAGTTATCTCCTGTCCATGAGAGTCTGAGGGAAGGTCTTTAAATTATAGGATCATTGTCTTTATCCACATGTATGAAACTGTTCAAACAGCTCCCTTAGTTATGATCAGATGTGATTGTGCAGTTGAGTAGTTCTCTAGTCATTCAGTTACCAAGACAGAGCTGATGAACATACAATTACATAAGCTGAGACATAAAATTTGTGTTAAAATCCAGTGAAGCAGCAAGCCACACACCTGCTGTAAATTTCTAGAGTTCTCAATGTTTGCACCATGTAGAACCTCAATTCAAACAGAAAACAAGCCCAAATAAGTTGTTAGAAAAACTTCGCTATCAGGTTAGGTTTGCCAGATGAACCACTTAATAAATGAACATTTAAAAGATGAGCTCTCAAATATTTTGATATTACTGAAACTGAATTTTAACTCTTTTTTCTTTAAATAAATACAAGCGTATCCTTTTCCTTTTTCCTTTAAGGCCTTAGCATAAAGTAAGAGAAAGCACAAGCATAGGTGCCAAGTGTCTTAAGGTATCCTATACCTCTTTAATTCCATCGTTTTATTTGAAGAAAATAATAAATGCGGTATGCCCCACGATAGACTAGAATAATACTTGAGTCCAACCAGATTCAGTATGTTGCTGTGTTTTGTTTTAGAGCATGGACTCCAGTCAGGCTATCTGAATTTGAAATCCAGCTCCACAACTAAGTGCATATAGTTGAATAACTTGGGATAAACCACTTATCGTCTGCATGACTTAGAAACCCTGCTTAGTAAAACAGGGTTAAAAATACAGTACTTAACCTACAATTCTATCCGGAATGTAATAAGAGAATCATCATAATTGGCTTAGAACAGCAACTGAACACAATGTAGGCACATCATAATCCTTAGGGAACCAAGGATTCTTATTATTAGGAATTGGAATTCCTCTGCTTCTCTTCTTCCCTTCCTTCCTCCCTCCTTCCCTTTTTCTACTTTCTTAATAACCACCGATATTTGGAAAGCACAGTTCTATAATGATTTTAATAGTTGACTGAAGTAAGGGAACTGCTATGCAGTATTGTCACATGATTAGACCCAGATCCTTGCCACATCTGTTTGTGATAGAGGAACCATTTAGGAGTATAAAAATAAGAATTCCATTTCATAGTCCCTTCCTCCCTCCATGAATGGCTTTCAGGTTATTTACCTAGTGTACCTCAGTCAGCATTCCCCACAGCCAGCTGGATTGATCAACTGTGTCCACACACATAAACATGTCATTCCTAATGTCTTTTCCAGTTATTATGTAGGAAGTTGGAGATGAGTGAGATTAAAATGCCAGCTGTAATGATGCTCGATAAAGCTGTCAGGTTTTAAGTCATGGATTAGTAGCATATCCTGACTCTATAAATGAGATAAAATTTAAACCCCACGTTAAGCAATACTAGACCGAGCAGCTCTTAGTGAATTGTAGTCTCTACTGAAAAGTTTCCGAAGAAATATAGTATGGCTTCAGTGTGTCTGTGGC